TACCTGCTAAAACCGCGTCTTTTGTTGCCTGGAGAGTTCGTGTTCGCTGGACTAGTTCCATCGTTTGCAGTTGCGGCAATATTCTCTGGAAAAAGCAACACCGGCACGCGCGTCAAAGTGGCGCAAAGTCGCGCGAGTGAAAGTTTGAAAATTGATAATTGTAGGTCGACGACACGGTGACGACGGGACGCCAGTGGAAAAGAAAAGTTTTTGGAAAAGATGAATCGGAGAATCGATTATCCCGTGCTGAATGAAAATCTTCGAATCGAAGAGACGAATTTTATAATAACAATTGGTAATTGATAAATTTAATTTAAACGTTGGTTGATCGAACGGGGAAAGGTTAGCGACCAAAACGCGTGCGATGCATCGATCTCGTTATACTCATCGGTATCTCGGTTGAAGATTCAACACCGGTCAAGGACACGGTTATCCCGGTACATCGTCGTATCGATCCGACACGACTGACACGGAGTACGCGTACAACGGATGACGCGTCGTTATCTCAAAAGAGATAACCAATTTCAATCATAACGTCCTCGCGTCGCGTTCAAACTATACCTATACCCGTTCGTTCTACACTACGATCCGTAAATTCGTCCTTTCGTTCTGCTTACAGGTACGATACAACCTCTTGCCCCTTGCCCCTTGCCCCTTGCCCCTTGCTCGTCACTTTTCGAAAGCGTGAGTTTTGCTACGCTTTCGAAAAAAGAAGAAGAAAAAAAAAGCAAATTCTTCGTCGTTTTACGCGTTCTCGTCTGATTCTGACCCCGAGTTGTCGCGCACGAGAGACGAGTACGTGCTGCTCTTTCAATTTATTACCGCACTTTTCTCTATGGCGATCGGCATTGAAAAATCGACGACATTGCCCCGCTCACCTGTTTCGTCTGGCAATGCAGAAGTAGGCGGCGCATTTTGAACGGATAACGCACCACTCGGCGCTACGCCTGTTGTCGTTGCGACGACGACGGCCGACGACGACGACGTCGGTAGTAGTGCTGCAGCAGCGCTAGACGACGCAGCTGCACTAGTAGCTCCTCCTCCGCTAGACGCGGTACTTTGAATTTCATTGTTTGATTGTTGATGAT